TATCAGTTTTCTTATATGTATGTCCAAAATTGGTGAGTATTATCCATTGTAATTTATTTTGATTTATAATTGATGCTCAGAAATTTTTTTCCTTCAAAAATTTTGTGGATTTTATATTGAATTCAGCTTTTATTGAGTTTATTAGCATGGAACAAGAGAGTAGAAAAATGATTTTGTTCCTTATCAACATAATTGGTCATAGTTTGCTCTTAAAGCATATTTACTGTCTTGTTCTTAAATATAAAATTGCCAATGAAGTTTTATTACCTAAAGGTAGCATGTGAAAAAGACACTAAGCAAAATTGAAGACTACTTATTTAAAACAGGCAGTATGGTGGTTTAACCCATTTTCTCAGTCAAGTACTGATTAGGAAACAAATGGTACCACTGACGTTTCTATTTCTTTCACCCATTTTATTTTTACTCAGAAAGTTAATCTTTTGGAAAATGCAATCCTGATTTTGAAATCCTATAATTTCTTCAGACATAAAGGTGTCATTATTATTTCTTGACCATGTATTTATCCTATATTAAGTGTTCTTTCTCCATTGCTGTATTTTTGTAGGCCTTTGGAATCCAGCTTCTAAGATGGGCCTGGAGGCATTTGACTTCTTCCAGTGTTGAGTCATGGCTACTCTTATATAACACAATAAAATGCTAACCGCTGGTGTTTGCCTCCCAAAGATGAGTCACAAAAACCTAATGCAATTACTATGTTGCTATCTAAAGGACAAGAATCAGTTGCTGTGTGAGAAACCATCTGACAGACATTCTTCAAGCATATTGCGATAGCAGCATGGTGGAGAGAAGCTGAACCCAGAAGCCACCACCATAACCGGGGTCCAGCTCCATGCATGGGCCACATTAGGCATTCAAGCTGCCATCAACAGTGACTCATGAAATACGCTAATCATAAGGAACTAGTGTTTCCTGTTTAATTTACCGAGTCATTTCATGACAAATAACAATAAGTGTTATTGTTTGAAATCGTTATTCTTCTACTAAGTTTTTGGAAACCAGCACTGTCACTTGATTTATTTTCCTCTCTTTACTGAAAATGTTTTGTGTCAGGTTTACAAGAAAAAGGAAATGTTACTAATATTTTCTTAGTTTAAATGAATACATTTTGATACATTCCTCTTGTTGATGGTTTATAGGGCCAGAAAGAAAACACTCACCATCTAGTACCCAAGAACATTAAGGAAAAAAGGCGCAAATGAACTTGGCAATTTAGACAAATAGTATCATATAATGTCATACATGGGAACAATTCACCCACTATTCAGACCAAAAATAAAGTGAATTATACTAATTAACTAGCCATAGATAGATTGACACTAAATTATATGTTTTTAAAGACTACATAAAATCAGTACTGGTCAAGTAAATTAATTTATATATATATTTATATATATATATTTATTGTACAACAGTTTGAAATATCTAATTTTTAGTAATAAAGACAGAAACATATCAAAAGAAACTAACCTACAAACAAAACAACCACAACATAAACTAAGACTTACAACATAAGGATACAACTTAGTTGATACAGTGTTTGCTGAGGATGTATGAAGTTCTGGGTTTGATCTCCAGAAACACATAAAGCCAGCCTGGTAAAAGTCTGGAGACTCAGGACTCAGAAGATTTCATCAGGAAGTGCAGAAGTTCAGTGATTCTATGGCTAGTTCTGTGTGTCAACTTGACGCAAGCTAGAGTCATCAGAGAGGAAGGAGCCTCAGTTAATGAAATGCTTCTATGAGATACAGCTGCAAGGCATTTTCTCAATTAGTGACCAATGAGGGGGCAGCCCATTGTGGGTGGTGTCATCACTGCGCTGGTGATCTTGGGTTCTATAAGAAAGCAGGCTGAGCAAGCTATGGAAAGCAAGCCAGTGAGCAGCTCCTTTCCATGGCCTCTGCATCAGCTTCGGCTTCCAGGAGTTCCTGTCCTGACTTCCTTCAGTGATGAACAGTAATGTGGTAGTGTAAACCAAATAAACCCTTTCCTCCCAAACTTGCTTTTTGGATATGGTGTTTGGTCACAGCAATAGAAACCCTAAATAAGACAGTGATCCTCAGCTCCATGATAAGTTTAAGACTTATCCAGGCTTGGATGCCTGAAACACTCTATCCAAACACCAAACAAAGAAGCAAACAAAATCCTCAAGGTTTGGATTAATGCTACCCATACTTCCCAAGCCACTCAGACCCTCAGGAGTAGTTAATCCCACTCAAAATGAATACTTCTTAGGCAGACAGTGGTGGTACACACCTTTAATCCCAGCATTTGTGAAGCAGAGGCAGGTGGATCTCTGAATCAGAGGCTAGGCAGGACTACAGAGTGAGTTACAGGATTTTCAGGGCTACATAGAGAAATACTATCTCAAAAAACCAACCAACCAACCAAACAAACAAACAAAAGAACCCACTTCTTGTCTTTAACTGTGGCTTTATACTTTATAATAATTTATTAAGGGGTAACGTAAGAATTAAATTTCTTTTTCTTTTTTCTTTTTTGGTTTTTTTCAAGACAGGGTTTCTGTAGCAGGAATCTTAAATGGTCTTATTAATAAAAACAAACCTGAGGCCAGTTATTCAGGTGAATGCTGGAAGATCAGAGAAGCAGAACAAGCCACAGCTACCTCACCCCACCAGTTCCTCAGCTGATCCTGTTTCCTCAGACTGGAAGCCTCTGAGTCCTCATCCAGAATGAATCTCAGGTGAACTGCGCTGCTCAAAGCCTAAAAGCTTAACCAGCCAAAAGCTTCTACTTCCTGGTCCTCATGCTTTATATATCTTCCTGCTATCTGCCATCACTCCCTGGGGTTGAAGGCTCATTTCTTGGGATTAAAGGCATATGTCACCATGCCTGGCTATTCCCAATGTGGCCTTGAACTCACAGAGATCCAGAGGGATTTCTGCCTCTGGAATACTAGGATTATAGGCATATGTCTATCCTCTATGTTTAATATTGTGGCTGTCCTGTTCTCTGACCCCAGGTAAGTTTATTAGCATGCACAATATTTTGGGGAATACAATACCACCACAGGTTTCTCTGTGTAGTTTTGGAGCCTGATCTGGATCTCACTCTGTAGCCCAGGCTGGCCTCAAACTCACAGAGATCCGCCTGGCTCTGCCTCCCAAGTGCTGGGATTAAAGGCGTGCACCACCTCCGCCTGGAAAGAATTAAATTTCTAGAGATTGCATTTGTTTTATTAAGAATTTGAGGTTGCCAAGTTTATTAAAGTATGCCTTTTTTATTGATAAAAATACTTTTAATTTTTGTTAGATTTAAAAGATACAACGTATTTTTAGAACTGTCAGGACAAGACCTATTTTCTGACCATTGGTGTAAGAAAAATTTTAAAAATGTTCAACAGTTATCAAAAATGACTGCAGTTTCATATCTGAATGCCTAATAATCATATTTGTTTTAGTAATTAATTGAGTCAAGTTTTGTTCATGTCTCACATTACTTCTCTTCAGTGTGTTGCTTGTGTTGACTTCCTAAGTCCTCAGGTGACATAATGGCTTGAACATCATTAAATAAAGATCTCTGGCTTGAGAAGAATTTGCATAGCATTTGTCAGGGCTCCAGCGCTCTAGAAATAAGCTCAGATTAGACACAGGACTTGTATAATCAATGCTTTAAAATGGAACAACCCATTTGAGTCAACTTTACATAAATATACCATCGATCTACAGATTTACTAATTACAGCTCCTCATTTTGAGCATGTCTGAAGCCTTTTTTACAAATTACATTTAGTCCACTTGATGGTATAATTTGATTATTTCATGATCGATATAAATAGGAGTAAGGAATTAAAGTAATGGTTTCTGTGAAGGAGCAATTTGCTTAATGCCTGCTCAGAAGGAAAGACCACAAGCACAAACATAAAAGCCAAAATACCATCTGTGCACTTTTGACTAGAAGTAGATGTGATCATATTAAGGCATTAAAAAAAAAACGTAGTAGAAGTGAAAAAAATCACGTGGAATACAAAGTTGAGTTGGAGATAAAATGTAGACAATCTCTTACTGGGATCTATATTAGGACTATTATCCAACCACCCCTAAAATTATCTTTTTTCTTGAAACTAAATAATATTATAAGCTCTATTCATTTGGGGTTCCTTTGAATATAAACTTATTTAAAACTGAATGTGTGTGTGTGTGTGTGTGTGTGTGTGTGTGTGTGTGTGTGTGTGTTAATCAAATAATCCAGTCATAGGACATACTGAAATTCTCTTTGTTCTAGAAAGAAAGACCATGAATTTGGTGTAGATAATTGAAATTGAGACATTTTAAAATATCAAAGATGTGTAACATAATTTGAATACAAAAGTTTGAACCTCAGAAATTTTTTCTGGATAAAAGGAGGCACAATAGAATAATCATGAAGACTTTCAGGGAAGAGGACATTACCCTTTCTTTCCACTCAGTAGGAAAAGCATGGTCTTAACTAAAATTTTATGCTGCACAGAGACCTTTTTATTAATTGATGGATTGTGGTGGTGCTGTTATGTGCTTAAACATTTGTGAAACTCTTCAAAGAACTTTAGACAATGAAGAAAAGAAATAATCCTCTTGAGCAAAGCTAGCAAAGAAAGGGAGCAGAAGACAAAGAATAATATATTTTAATATCTCTTGAGAATATAGAGGCAGCATGAATCTTTAAGCAGAGGTAATTACAAAAATTTAAATTTAGAGATCTTTGGAGAAGTCCATATTTTAATTACCATAAACTATAGAATATCATCATCATCATCATCTTCTCTTATAATACAACAACAGCAAAACACAGATTAAAAGCAATATAGAATTTAACACATTCGACAGACAGATTGTAGTGAAAGAACAAAGGATAACAGGCATAAGATAATGCAAGTAGGTATCCTGAAAACGCTGAGAAAGAAGGGTATACAGCCAAACCTTGAGTTGTAAAGCTTGAGCACAGGATTAGGTCTGGATAGAATACCAAAACAGAAGGCTTTTGTCCTGTTTTCAGTATCATACATGATCATCAAATAGTTGTTATGATGTTCATTCACATCTAACTGCAAATTCTGAACCCAGGGAAGATTTTCCCCTTGGAATTACTTTAGGTCAATTTGGAATTCCCTAAATGGGTTATCTCCATCAAACTTCTCACCTTGGGCCTCAGGGATTAATGTGGAAGAGGAGTCTAGATGTTGTGGAGGACTCAAAGGAAACATGTCTTCCAGAGACAACAGACTGATGGTCATACGAAATATATGCCTTCATAGAGACTGTGACAGCAGAAGGCTGCACTATTTCAAGCCAGGTGGGGGCCTAGCCCTGAAAGGAGGAAGTGGACATGGGCAAAACCTGCCTAACCAAATAACTGATAACCTATGGTGAAGGAAAAATTAGTTTTCTTCCATGGTGTTTCATTAGGTATATGAACCACATTTCAGAGTGGTCCCCATGCCCTGAAGTATTTAGCCCACACAAAATGAACTCAATGGTATTTTTGTAGATTTTTTTTTATTCTAAACACATATTTCTTTCTTTGAGGTTTTCTTTTTTTTTCTTATTGGTCATTTGCTTATATATTGTGGTTTCCATTTTTGTGGTGTGTGTGTTTCTTGGATTTTGTTGTTGATTTTTGTTCATGTTTTGGTTTGTTTACTTTCTAAAGTGAGATAAATAAAGGGTATGGAGTTGAATGGGTAGGGTAGGGAGGTGGGAAGGATTTGAGAGGAATTGATGGAACAGAAAGGCATGATCAGAATATATTGTTATGATTTTTCAATAGAAAATAAGTAAATAAAATAATAGATGAATGAAAGGATAACAAAACTTAAGCACTTATTAACTAAAAATGTAAGTTCCCCAAAGATAAATGAAACCTTCCACTCTTTGAATTGTGGAGATTGATATCTAAGATTTTCAGTGTATAGAACTGGAACTCACATTAGTTGGCATTTGTCCAAATCTGTTTAATCAATAAGTGATTGTCTGACTATGCAGATGAACACACAACAATGCATAGATTAATTAAATTTCATATAGCATATATGTGCTGCATATATTTACACATATAAATATATTTACATGCATATCATATATGTAAAAGGTATATCTTAAACTATTTTAACAAAGGCTGGAGAGATGGCTTGGTGATTAATAGTGATTTCTGTTCTGGCAAAGGACCTGGGTTCAGTTTCCAGAACCCTCATAACCGCTCATAACTTTCTAGTACCCCAGTAACAAAGAAGCCAATGCTCTCTTCTGACCTCATAGGCACTGCACACATATAGTACAAAAATTTCCATGCAGACAAACACTGATACACATAAAAAATAAATAAATCAAAATTTAAAAGCATTTTAAGAATCAGTAGAAAGGATCAGAAAATGAAAACAAAATTAAAGAAAAGAGTAATGTAAACCATGCAGCGTATCCTCTCAAATCAGGTATCTTCTTTCAGTGCTATGTAAGCCAACAACTTATTGTCAATTTAAAGAGTTTTGCAGATGTAAAGCTGAACTACATCATGACACTAACAATGCTCAAATGGTGACTGAATAAAATTCATGCCTGGCACTGATTTGAGAACTGAGTTTCTTCTTATATTGAAATGGAATTTGAGGGTTTTTTTTCCTACTGCGCCTGTCCTCTGCTGAATACACTGGGTGCCAGTGGAGCATATATCATATATTCTGATACATAGCATTAAAACTTTTATTTGTGTAATTAAAATTCAAGTCTCTAAAAAAATGGATACAGTAGACAGTTGGCCAGCCTATTTGGCAGAAGCTGTATTTGAGGGGAAAAAAAGATACAGAAATAATTTCTCTACATGACTGGTTTGGATCTCTCTTCACTAAGCCATTCTTGCTGCACCATGTGAAACTTTACCCCAAATGCATCCTATTTGGAAACAGAAAAAGCTTTTTCTGTTGTGAAAGAGTACAATGAAAAATGCATAAATCAACCTCAATTTGGATGACTTCAGTAATTTGCATTCATCTGTTTAAAGAGAGATGTCTTTGGAGACTCCTATTTTTACATAAAAATTACACTCAGCATCTCACAGGCTCTTTTGTTCACTAAAATTAGATTTGCTCACTTACACAATTCACAGGCCTCAATTTGTTCGGAGCAAAGTCACACATGCTATTTGTAGTATGCCCTTTTCTCTCCCAACTTCCTCAAAAAACTTAAAAGATGATATAGTCTAGAGTTGTCCTCCCACAGCAGAGTAACATATAGTGATTCCTTGAGTATGTGCCTGTGGTTCAAAGGCCACCGCTCCCTTATAACCACCATCCTCCAAAAGTGCCAAAGAATACCGTGCAGCTGTGACAGTATTATGTACATCAGTTACTGAGATTTTAAAGGGGCATCCAGGACATAACCCACTGAACTCACGGCATCAGCAATTCCAGACCTGTGGCCATAACATTCAATGGAGTTCTAGCTCTAAACAGGCTGAATAAAACTGCAGATTCCTCTGTTTATCCTTGCTATACGTAGTCCATGTGAATGTCAAACTACACCTTAAATGGGAAAACTATCAACAGAGCCATCACAAAAGGAAGAAAGCTATGTCAACAGAAAGGCAGCTAGCATATCGCAATACAGTAGTAAATGTAGAGCAAATAGTCACTAATAGTGTATATCTCAAGTAGTGTCTACTTCTATTGTTTTCATTAAAGTATTTCACAAAATGGCATGGTAGAATGCAGTAGCTAGAAATAAAGTTGCAGTTACATTTGGCTTTTTCTTAGAAAGTTATACTATTGTGGGTATATCAGTTAGCTCTTCCTAAGTGTCACCAGACAGTGGTATCAGAAGTCAATCAACAATGCTGAATTCATAAACATGTGACCTGCACAGTTACAAAGAGCCATGTGCTGAAATTTCTCCATTGGTTAATGAGTTATCCTTGCTGTCATGATATTTTTAATAATTTTAGAATAGGTACTTCCTATTTTCTGTTTGCCCTGGGTCCCACCTATGGCATAGAGCATCCTGCACATTAGCAACTAATCCAGTCTAGTGATTTCCATATGGTAATTGTTCAATGTATACCTAACCCCTCTTCATAATTTTCCTCCTCCTAAATACACAGGCTAGACTTTATTCTTCTACTACCATCTTACATGCATATTTAATAGATCTGCTTGTTTAATTTCCTATGCCTGCCTTCATTCTCCAGCACTATTGTTGGGTTTGCATTTTAGTACTAACAACATGTAAAACACACACTACAATATTTAGAAGCAAGATAAATCTTCAAGCAAGAGAATTGTACTGATGTTTAGACTGCAATAGAGATTTGAGGAAATCATGTCACTGCTTTGGAATGAAGTGTGATTTCAGTGTTTAGCTCTAATGTGCCTAGTGTGTCTTCAGCCAATTCAGAACCTAACTTTAGAACACCAAAACATCCAATGCCTACTTTGTATTGTTTCTAAAGACTAGAAGCAATATTCATTGTGACTTTGAAACTTCATGAATAACTTTATGGTAAATAATGAAAACAATTGAGTAAGTTCAATGTACTGTTGACCTAAGTATTAATATGTATGAATAAAGGCAAGTATTCTATACCTAATTTGGTGTAAAACTGTCAGTGGAGTTTCCCTTTTGAAATTCTACCAGTTGGTAATTATGATGTTTACTTTATACATTTTTAAATTTAAATTAAGTTTATTCACAGATACATAAATGTTTTACATAACATAAAAGTGTACATTTAAATTCAGTACAAAGTGTTCTTTCAATAGCTGTGCATGTTGTATAAAGTTTAATTTGTGCTAAGTATCAATCTCAAATATTTATTCTTTCTATAAGGTGAAGATACTACAAATCTGTCCTCTTTTACGTGATGTTTAATATAAAATTGTCTGTAGTCATACTTCTATGAAATACACCTGGACATCAAAATTAGACTGTACTGTTTCTAAATTAAACTTTCCTCACATCTCCCTCCTTTCTACTATCCCTAGGTTCTCTCAATTACCATTCTAAGGTTACCATTTACGAAAATGACTTGTGTAGGCTCCGCGTATGAAGCAGCTCACATGGTACCTTGCTTTGCATGGCTGGCTCATGTCATCTAACCTAGTGACATACAGATCTGCCTATGTTTCTTTGCAAGTTAAAGAACTCTGTTCTCTTTGGTGAAAACTAATATTCCTCTGTGAATGTTTACAGCGTACATCCTTGATTCATCAGTTGCCCAGCAGACACTGAGTTTCTCTGTAGGTCAGAATAATGTTCTAGTAAATGAGTGAAGACTTCATTAACACCAGCCACTTCCATTTCACTTATCCCTTGAATAAATATCCATCAATGAGATTGCTGAGTTATAGGGGAATTCCTCTGGATTTTTCTATTTATATTTTATTTTTTCATCTACTTGTTTTGTTAGTTAATAAATAAAGGTTAGTGGTGATAGTTTTTTTTTTTGTTTGTTTGGTTTGGTTGTTTCTTGTTTTGCTTTTTTTCGTTTTTGAGATTTGCTGTGGCCCAGGCTGGTCTTGAATCCCTGATCTTTTTTCCCCCTTCTCCCAAGTATTTAGATAGCATGGGTCTGTCACAAAAGTTCTTTTATACACTTTTTGAGGGAATTCAATTTTGTTTCCCATAATGCTTCTATTAGCTTGCATTTCGACTAACAATCTAATAGTGCGCGCGAGTTGCTGTCTCTTTAAAAGCTTACCAGTACTTGTTATCTTTAACTTCTGAATAATAGTCATTTTTAATGGAGTGATAGTGTCATCTTATTGTGTTTTTTATTTATATTTCCTACAGAACATTTTCATAACTTGTTAGTCATCATATGTCTTCATTTGGGAAATGTCTATTTAGGTCAATAGCTTATTTTAAGTGGCAGATATTACTTCATACTATTGAGTTTTGAGCTCATTAAATATTCTGTGTATCAATAGTTTTTACATGGTTAATTTTAAAGTGTTTTTTTTTCTTATTGTATAATTTGGCCTTTCTTTCTTGGTGCTGCAAAAAGAAAAGCAGACCTTCAGCTATGCCCAGAATAAGAGAGAGGGTACTTCGATAAATAAAATCATAAGTGACAAGAGAAATAGTGTAATTGACAACATAGGAATATACAAGATAACTAGAGATTATTATACATGACAATTCAGCAGCAAATTGATGAACTAGA